TGCTTACCCAAATATTAAAGGTATCTTCTACATTTGCTTTTCTCTTCAAACTATCAATTCTTTAAGTATTCAGCAATGAATTTAAAAACAAAAACAGAAAGAGATGCCAACAAATTGATTCTGACTTGTGTGAAGTCAGAGTAGAATTGTGCTCTCTGAGGTTTTAAATGGCCATCATTTCTAAATGTACAACACCCAACCTTTCTTCCAAGGCACCTCTGGGTGGTTTCAAACCACCAACTTCTCAGGCACTCTTGTGAGTAAATGATTCACCTTTAAACTGAATGGTGAGACTTTGCCCTACTTAATTTGAACACACCATTAGGGAAGACCACTTACAAGAACAGGACACCTTATCTGGAAAGAAAACCTTCAATAAGATGGACGGATACAGTAGTAACAACAATAGACTCAAAGGTATCTGTGATCAGAAAGATGGTATGGATCACGCAACACTTCATTCTGATACACATGAGGTCATCATGGCTTGACGCCGACTCCCAGACAAGGAACAGCAGAAGGTTACATGGTATAGTCTTTGTTTCTCTTGCTCACTAAGGCGTTTCTGTTGTTTGTTTGCTTGTTTGTTTTCAGTTGCTTTACTGAAGAGGTAGAAGAAGTCGGTGGAGCAGTGAGCCTCAAAGCTGACTACCAAAAACCATGTGTGACCTCACACATCTCTATTAGAACTGAGCGAGGCAAGCTCCTTGGCCTTGTCACCTGCTCCCCATTTTCTCATTGGCAGAAAAATGGGTAAAGAGCTGTTCTTTCTACCACATGATGCTGTCACAAAACTAGAAGTAGAAATACAATAAAACTCCACTGAAAAACCAATAATCACAACTAATTCAACCAATCTTCTCGTCATTCTAGGCAGGAGCAATGCAAAATGTGACTCCAATAGCCAAATAACAATCGAGCAAAACCCCTATTCGAGTGTCTAAATTCTTATACAAACTTAGCAAGTCCACTTAATAACTACGAAAACAATATTATAGGTTTAGGGCTACACAGGTAATGAACAGAAAAAAACCTATCTATCCAAATAATGTTCATCCTTTAAATGAAGCCAAATCATCCTGAAATGTTCTGAACTCCCTCTCTCTGAAGAAGAAGAAGAAGAGGTGGTGGTAGTAGTAATATGCTTGTGCCCTGACAACATTATGGTTTGAAATACTTTCTAGAACAGTGAACTGTACAATACCTTCAAAAATGGGATGACAAAAGGTCTCAGTGGGAAGTTAGTAGCTTCTTGCAGTTTGGAATGAAATTCTTCAATTGTCAAAGTAGAGTTCTGCGGAATCAAATGTATATTATAAATATGTTTTTCTCTTGTGGAAATAGTAAAAACCCTGAAACAAATAAATTATGAATATGCAACACACTATATTAACATGCAGATAGATAAACCGAAATCTATAATTTCAACATAAAATCTTTTGCCTTTGTAGAAAATATCATATAGTCTGAGAAGCTTTTGCATTTAACAAGAACCTACTAAAACTACCTTTGTGGACAACAAACATACTGGGATGTACTGCAAAGCACATCAGATCCCTTGAATTTGGCAGAGGCCAGTGCTACAATCTTTCGATTTGTCTCATAGGTCAGTGTCTCCTCAGTGGAAACATTCTCCTTCTCTTTCTTTCTATAGTGCATGCTCTCTTGGTCTACAAAAAAAAAATCTTTGCTCAGGATGATAGTTAAGTTGGCTAGTATGTTGTGTTAATGAAACCAAACAGAAGGTTTGAGCCCCCCATGAGTCACCGAGTCTTGTAGCTAACAACTCAAGTTGCTTCTGATTCAAAGCAGCCTTAAAGGACAGACAGGAAGGGCCCTCAGGGTCTCCAAGGCTGTGAGTCTTTCCGGGGTAGAATAGCTCATCTACCTCCAGGGAGAGGCTACAGTGTGCCAACCGCTGACCTCCTGGTTGGCAGGTGAGCACTTAACCATTGCACCACCCGGGCTCCTTCTGGGTCTTGAAAACAGCTTAAAAATTTTTTAAAATCCCCCAATTATGAAAGATATTCCATTTAGCCAGAGGCAATGTTTGGCAACGTGGAACCCAAAAGAGACTGCACAAATGAATTCAAATTCACTCCTACAACTCCATCCTACAAAATAAAGTAGCCTACAAATAAGCCCAGGGATTAGATCCTTTAACAGGCAATGTGAGTTGATAGTAAATAGACAGGCAACCTAATGCTGTGAAGTGTTAAGTAAATTAACCTTCTTTTGATTCCCCAGTCGCCGCCCCCACCCTGCCCCGCTTAAACACTAGGTAGAATTACAACTGTCCTTTTAGCCTTAACTTCCATTACTTACACTGAAGCATTTATCTTGTAGTTAACAGTCATGCTGAGGCCTGACAAAATTGGGGTATTTGTGACCTAGTAATGTTAAATTACTGCTCCCGTCATCTTCTTTTCCTTTTATGATAAAGTATGGAAGCATCAAATTGTAATTTTTTTCATATCATCAACTCAAATAGTCTTTTTAAGAAACTGTGAATGAATACCAACTTTCTATAACAAAAAAATTGAGAAGGCTTTTTTTCCTTTGGTGGAGGGTCATTTTGTTTTAATGGTTCATTTTCTATAAGACACTTCCACCCGTTTATTCATTCAGTGCAACAAATAGTTTAAGGTGATTGCTTATGCTTTAACTTCTGGATTCAAATCATAGTCACTATCAATTGTGTGACCTTGTATCTCTTTGTGAAGATGTGTGCCCATGTGTAAAATGTGTGCAAAATTCACCACCTTAAAGGTTGCTTCTAATAAATCAATAAAATGACATGTGTGAGCACTTTTAGTCACGTTCTGGAAACAAATGTCTATTCTCTGTGCATTCACTGATTGGACAAATATTCATTCCCCACCTACTATATGCAAAGCATAACACCATTGCTTAACTTCGCGCTGTAAACTTTTAGATACACATATAAAGATCCTGGAAAATTATTTCAATCAAAAGTTTGCTAGCGCACATGTGAAAACTCTACTCAAAGCTGCCAAGTCTTTCTACATTTTAAGTTAATACTGTTAACAAAGAAGATATCAAAATTCATATGGTAGGTAGCTTTCACAAAACCAATTTTTAAAAACTGTTCATTTGATGAAATTATTGCTCTGGTTTTACTTTGATATTCACGAGTGCAATGTACTTACATGTCAAAAAGCATATTTCTAAACCTCAAGAGTGAGTAGGAAGAAAAAATTAAGTGACTAATATATGTATCTGAAGTCGAGGCGCCCACTTCCGTCCACAATCACCTTTGCACACAGCGGTAGGGGGTGAAGGTGATGGTTTGTGGGAAGTGTGAACATTGTATACTCTTGCAGTAGGAAGGAGAAGGAGTTAACAACAGGTGAAATTTAAATTGCAAAAATCTTTTTAAATCTGCGATGTGCCAACAAGTGGATTCTGCCTCAAAGCAGAACTGACTCAAAGTACAACTGCCCAGTAGGGTTTCCCAAGGCTGCAATTAGTACCAAGCAGACTTGCATATCTTTCTCACACAGAGTGGTGGTGGGTTTGAATTGTCAACCTTTCAGTTAGTAGCCAGGGACTTTGTCCACTGCACCACCGGACCTCCTCTCTCTACCATGTCAGTCCCCAAACCAGCACTTTCATTCCGAGTCATCTTCCAGGCTTCCTGGTCTAACAGACACGGATGGAACCCCGAGACCAGGACCATAGGTGCCCTTTAGATGTGGGGTTGAACTCATTCAATTCAAAACCAACGGACAGACAGGCCTATACGGTGAATCATAACGTGTGGGAAGTACTCATTCCTTGAAAAAAATCAACCCAGATCAAAAGGGCAACATTTGCCCAGGGAGAAAGCTGAGCAATCGGAAGGGGCAGGACAAAAGGATAAGTGGAAACAGTAGAGGCAGGGAGAGAGCGGAAAGAGTGCTGCTAAGTGGCGGGGCTGCAACTTTTGGTGCAAAACAAAACGTGTGTACATTAGTCGATGGAAAAACCAAGTTTCTCTCTAAATGATTACCCATGTCACAATAAAGGATTTTTAAAATAATCATAGTAAGTAATACTTCTGGGTCTTCTTTTGAAAAATACAATTGGCCAATAACAAAAATACAAGGGCATTTCAAAATTTTCTGGAAAAATTCCATTATCTTTTAATGATATATTTCCATGAACATTTAAAGCCCTCTCATACATAAACTATTTCCAGGAAGAGGATACTGCTATCTATCATTTGAATTTCAGTTCTACTATAAGCCTATGGTGGAAAGACTGAATGGGTGATTTAGTATGGGAACTACTATGTTGTAAGATACTGCAAAATCTTCTACACATGTAAAAACACACACAATAACTATGAAAGTTATTATTACTCAATTAAAAATGACATTTTCAGATAATGTCAAAAATAGAGTAGAATGTACGAAATTACTGTTGTCTGGTCTCAAACTAAGGTCCGTGGCAGTGCAGTGATGGTGATCAGTTAGCTGTTCATCAGAAGGGTGGTGCCTTGAACCCACAGCAACACCACAGGACAAAGATGTGGCAGGCTGCTGGCCTAAAGACGCCCAGGCTTGGGAACTCTCTGAGCAGTTCTGCTCTGTTCTAGAGTCAGAATGGGTTCCTGCAGAATCAGAATCGCCCCAGTGGTAAGGGATTTGATTCTCAAACCAATGACTTACTTAATTCTACCCAAACAAAATCTTTTTTAAAAAAATCACTAGGCTTAAAAAAAATCTAAAGAGATGACTGAACTATTAAATGGTATAACTTCTAGATTAAATGGCAATAAAACGGTTTTTAAAAAATCAAAATAATTAAGTGAAGAATTTATCCTTACAATGTCTTGTCGAGGTCAACAGTAGAAATCCCCAAGTAAACACCCAATCAGATGCAGTGCATCACTAACAAACTCTACCATTTGTTATTTTTGATAGCTAATAGCCATACCAGGAAAATATACTAGCTATCAAGAATAACAAAATAGTGGAGCTTGGTGCAATGTATTTATGGCCAAGATAACAAATAATCTTATGCCACCATATTTTTCAACAATTTTTTATTGGTAAATTAGGTGGGGGTTTACTTTTAAGATCATCAATTTTGTATTCAGCGGTGTGTTAAGTGTAGCAAACTAAACCATGGTGAGGGCCAATCCATGATCCAGGAATGAACCCAGGCTTGTTATGGAATTCATCAGGCTCGCAAGCAGTGTCTAGCTATAGAAACTGTTCCAACAGAGGAAGGGGCACAGTGACATCTATTACACGGCTCAGCCACTGTGAACACGGTGTATTTTCCTGACTCTCTCCCCAACTCTCCCCCACACCCTTTCTTTTAGCCCAGAAAATGAAGTCAATTCCAGTTTGCTTACCACCAATCCTAGTACAAGAGTGCGGACTCTCTCTCCTATCTCTGGTGAAATGTCATTGCCAAACTGCTGCAGGGTCGTAAGGAACCGTTTCAGCTTACTGAGTTGCCTGGCTCCACAGGCTGGGGGCAGCTGTTGATTAGCCAAAGAAGAAGAGGAAGAAGAGGAAGGCCCGTTGCTAAAGCCATTGGGCGGCGAGGGGGCGCCGTTCAAGGCTGTAGGTGAATGGCTCGTGCCATTAGTTACTGTGAAAGGCACAAAATCAGGAAGAAAGGGAAAAGAAAAAAAAAAATCAACTTAAAGACAACATGCATGAGGGCATCACAATCCTGTTTCCTTCCATTTAAATCTAGTGGATGTTTCTGAATTTGGGATGGTTACTTTTTTTTAGAGGTTGGGACATTTTGTAAAATACTTTGACTTCACAGGATGGCCACCGGCTCAGTTCCTCTATGATTAAAGGGGTCCTCCCCTCACACTGCATAATAGTGGTTCTGCACAGAAGCTGATAATAAATGGAGTCGGCTGTAACACAAGGACAGCCTTGCCACCCATGTGCACATATGCCAGCCACCTGAAATGTTTCAAACATGGAACAAACAGCGTTTGGCTGTCAGCCTTTTGTCACAGGCTTATATCAATATAACAGGACGATTCCTTTCTAAACTGCTCTCCTAGAGAAAGTGTACATTTGGTGGAGACTAAATTTATCACTGAACATTTTTAATAATGTTTTGTACACACAACTGACAGCTGTGTTTATAGAAATAGGACTTTCAAGTTTTAACCTTCTCCCACCCAATTAGAAGGCTATTTTCTCCCCCACATATTTCCTAACCACTTCTTTAAGAAACATGCAAATTGTATGTGGGAAGTTAAAATGGATACAGTATTTATCACAGAATTATTTAAAGAAATCGTAAAGGAACAACCCGGTCGAACCAACTGCAAAGATTCAGTTCATTTATTGCTGATAAAATTCATTTGAACACTAAGATGGTAATGCAGGAACCATGCTAGAAAGAGATGCAGAATTCTCACTTTAAAACAAAATGGTGATTTTGCATTCTTAAAAATCCATTCGTTTGATTATCAATTTATCAAATACATCATTTTATAATAAGATTGACGAAAGCGTCTCTAGCAATAGTTTGGGGCTGCTTTAAGTACTTCATTATTCATCATAGTTTCATGTCAATAGAAGGAACTGACTCTCCCTACCAAATATCAAAGAAATGGTATCTAACCAGGACCTTTTACAGAAGGTACATGCCTATCACTGGGGTTTTAGGTGGCGACAAACTAGATACAAGCTAGCAAGGCTCGAAGCCAGCATTATCAAATTCCCTAGTCTTCATACACTTGAATAGGTCTTTCGAGTGGCAATGAGACATGGCATAAACCAGCCTGAAAGGTATATTTTGTCAACCTCTCACAGGCTACGTTTTTCTTTTTTGTTTTTTAGCTATTTTTCATTCATATGGATTTCATGGCTCATGGTCGGAAAATGGCATTATCTGTAACAGCATTTAGTAGTTTCACAAATCCTTGATGACAATTTTAACCAGGAATATATGATGAATTTCAAACAAATTTGTCCACTATCCCTAATAGAGAGGTTTCTAATGTATAAGAATGTCTTGTCATGTCCTTAAAAGATACAGGAAGCAATACACTTCCCTGGCTCAAAACCCAGGGCTTGACAGTGGTGATCATTTAAGACCACAAGGTGCTATTTCAGTTCCAAAAGTTTTCTGTCTTTTTCTTAAGTCATCTTTTTAAACTTAAGGATATTAAAGTTTAATATTGCATGTCACTCTTTGACATCAAGAATAAAGCGATCCGAAGATTAGAAGATCAGCAGTAATCTGGAAAGGAGTCAAACTGAATAAAGTCAAGTGAAAAGTTGGAGAATGGTTCGTGGCGGTGGTGAACACCATGGTAAAGAGATTTCAGGGCACTGAACTGGATTTGAGGGGAGGGTAGTGGTTGTTAGCGATTCACTGATCACAGAAGATGTCTTTAAGGAGAACATTCTAGTCATAACAATTGAAGTTACAGAGCAAAGAGCGTACTCTTCATTTCCTTAAATCACAGCTGAAGATACAACCCGGATGCAAAAATGAAGAGAAAGGCAAATACTGCCATTCATGCAAATCATACCTACAACAGGCTACCTGACTGGTGGATGAATTCATGGTTTCTCTCTTCATTTCTAGTTAATACGTTAACGGCAACTCTTACTTTCCCTTCATTCTTGTTTGCCAGAGAAACAGAAGAATTGCTGCAAATGCCTAACAGGAAATGCCCCCTGAGTACTCACACGTTGTAGGTGTAAATGAACTGGTTCTTGGAGCTCCTTGAGTGGTTGGGGGCGGTGGCATCGTCGGAGGAGTCAGCCTCGATTGCGTCTTCACATCCACAGGTGAGTCTGGCATTGTGGAGTGCTTCTCAGTACGATCTGCGGGCGCCACCACAAACAGGTTATTTCGCTCCTTAAGCATCTCGGGTTCTTAAGGGGGATTTGTCTTTTTTAAGAGCAGGCCAACAGGAGAAGCGCCACATCTTCTCTCAATAAAATATGCTCTCTGCTGAAGTTAAATCAAGATTTTATCATCCCAACCCCACTTAAGAAGGTGCAGGACAGATGGCAGGACCTCGTTTGTAACTGGGTTATATTATCCTCGATTGCTATTTCTGGCTTGGGCAGATGCTACCTTGGTCGTGCAACCTGCAACAGCGCGACTTCACTGGCAGCTGAAGTCAACATTAGCAAGAAGGAGAAAATAGATGAGAAAAGAGGACGACAATGAACTCCTCATGACAGCTCAGCAATAACAAAAGCCTGCAGCTCTGTTATGCAGGTGAAGCACTGGTCGGAGCCAGCGCTTTGTAACCATTTTTCCTAACACCTGCTGCCCCTCTCCCATGCTTTTTATTCTGTCCAATTGGATGAAGCAGGTTATGTCTCCCAGACACATCTCATTTCTTTTAACCCGGTTTTAAAAATCACCTTGACTGTCTAAATGCCAGATGCCGTACAATGCAGTCA